CCCCGTGTATCATCAGCCTATGAGTTTCTTTCTTCTGTTGAACACAAAAGAAGATATTTTGAAGAATGTTGGTAACCTAACAGCTAACGGCATCCATTGACTTCCATAGTATTTTTTTGTTTCATACTATGAAAGTCAATGACTACTATTTGGTCACCAACATTCTTCAAAATATCTTCTTTTGTGTTCAACAGAAGAAAGAAATGCATACAGGGTTGGACAAACTTAAAGATTAGTAAATAATGACAAGATTTTCATTTTTGGGTGAACTATCCCTTTAAGTGTATTATTTCCATAAATTCTTTCTCAAAAGGAATAGCCCAGCCCCGTTTCTATAGTTTTTCTATAGCGCAGCAGCAGGCACAGAGACTGACATTAATCATGTAGTTTGTATATCTGTGGCCACACTTTAATGTGTCATGGCCTGCTAGGGCTTGAGTACTGTCCCACACTCATCACCCCGTCCATCCAGCTGAACTTACCCGTCCTGAGCAGATAAAATAACCACTCCTTCCTATTGATAAGCTGTGCATTATCCCCATTCAGATAGCATGTCATCTGTCATGTGTCTAGGATGGCTGTTTGTTGCAGTGTCGCTGATTTTTTTTCCACACTATCACTCCAGATACTGAGATAATGCAGAATTTTCAGTGCGCAGGTTCTCTGTATGCATTGAAATACTACTATAGTTGTCAAAATGCAAAATGTGCAGTTACAAAACATGTAACTGTTCTTACATTAAGATGATGGCTGGATGTTCTTAATGATGTAGGCTACTGAATTAAAACAAATATGCATCATGAAGTCATGTGACAACAACTTATCATAGCACTATATACACAGTGTATGTAGAGTATTCAGTAAAAACGTAAGCTAGTATTTCTTTCTGAACATTATTCATATTATTAATGCAACATCATTTTGCTGCAGTTGCTGATATTTATATGGTCAAAAAGTAAGATGAAATTCTGATAGCTTGTAATGTAAATCAATTAGTTCTTTATAAGAGACTAGCAAAAAAATCAGTTGTCACACTATATCTCACATAAATTAATATGTCTAGTAGGATGATATTTAAATGTTTCGTTTTATTAAAGGGGTCATATGATGTTGCTAAAAAGAACATTATTTTGTGTATTTGGTGTAATGAAATGTGTTTTATGCGGTTTAAGGTTAAAAAAAACATTATTTTCCACATACTGTACATTATTGTTTCTCCTCTATGCCCCGCCTTTCTGAAACGCGTCGATTTTTACAAAGCTCATCGGTCTGAAAAGTGAGGTGTGCTGTGATTGGCCAGCTATCCAGTGCATTGTGATTGGCCGAATACCTCAAGCGTGTGACGGAAATGTTACGCCCCTTACCATACTGTGATGCCATGTCAGGCCTGAGTGAAGAGACAAAAACATTAAAACTCATTATAAACATTTGTTGCATCCAGTGGGGACATAATTATGGATTATAATGACTTATACTGTCTTTTTACGCGTTGCATCACGCCGTGTAAACATAAAACCATGTCTGCATTTGTGATCGGAGAAATGACAAACAACCAGGATCAGGAAACAGTCCTCCATAAAATGTGCTACACACTTCTGAATATTCGGGTTGAACTGTTCTGGAACAGTGTTGTAAATACAACTTAACCACTGATTTCTAGTCATGTACTCTTTTGGAAGACCAAACAAAGTAGTTTCGCTTTCACAACAAAACACACAGCGTCACACACGGCGGGCTAGAGTGAGCGGCGGCCGCCGGCTAGAGTGAGGAACGGCCGGCGGGCTTGTGGCAACCACATGTGACAACCCCGGGCTGGACTCAGTTGATGTTGATCAACGAAGTTGATGTATTTCCTCAGCGACCAGCACGGATCAGCTCTAGGCATGATGAAGCAGATATCGTCCTCTTTTGGAAGACCAAACAAAGTAGTTTCGCTTTCACAACGAAAAACACAGCGGCCTAGAAGCCCCGGCTTAGCGTGAGCTGAGGCCGGGCAAGAGTGAGCTGAGGCGGCGGG